GTATTTATTATTAATAAATATTAATAAAAAATTATTATCATATATATTAAAAAATTTATGATAATTATTTAAAAATTAATATATAAATTTTTTTTAATTAAATAAGTAAGTTTGAATACGAGATATCTTAAAAATAAAAAAAAACTTAAAATATCATATTTTTTTAAAGATAATATATTTTTTCAAATTCAAAATTTCTTAAATCAAATGCTGATGTCTTGATAAAATATTAAGGGAGGTAATTAGATGAATATTTTGTCGACGGAGGTGAAACTGTTGTATGACGAGAAGTTTGAACGATAACTCTCGCTTATAATAATGTGGCAGTATTCACTTATCGGTTATGTAAGTTAATCTTGCTGATTGAGAATTGAGTATCATGATCCAACAACCTTAAATATGGACGTTAGGAGGATTTAATTGTTTTTTTCTTTATTATGATTTGACGAAAGGTTTAACCCAAAGTTTGTTTGATTTAATGGAAACCCCATGCACAGATCTGCCCACAACCAAAACTTGCTGGACACGACAGAGCAATTTCTCTGTCTCGTTGAATTTTTATACAGAAATGGCAGTCAGTCAAAACAAAACACAAAAGAAAGAAAAAAGCTGAACTTGGAATCTGGATTCTCATTAAACAACTGACGGTTTAATAAAGAAGACTGCTCAGTTAGGTTGAAAATTCAATTTGCGCACGGCCTATGCATTTAAAACTTCATCAAACTTTCCGATATTATTTTCAATGAAATTAAACACTTGTTCTTATAAATGAAAATGATAAAATTAATACATTTTCAATTACCATTATATGCAAACCATTAATTTAATTAATTATGCAAACCATTAATTTAATTAATTAGGTTCTCTTAAGTTAGATTAATTAAAAGAATTAGGTTCTCTTAAGTTAGATTAATTAAAAAAACTCTGTGGTTAAGGAGATGGTAGAGATTTTGTGTTTAAATGGGCAGAAATTATGTGATCCGATCAGATCATACCAAAGAAAACAATAAAATTAAATTATTAAATTATTAAATTAAAAAGAAATTAAAAAAACGAGACAGACCTGACACACACCAAATCCAACAGCACAATAAATAAAAAAAAAAGAAAAAAAAGTACTGACAATCTATACGTTAAAGTGCCCAAAAGATCTCGGTTCTATCAAACAAATCTTTTCCTATTTAGCATCATCTCCACCGTTCATTCTTCCCGCCAACACACCCACCTAAATATCTACCGTACATTCCTCTTTATTCTCATTTAATTTCCTAATAGCAACCACTGGTTGGATCCTTCTTCCAATGTGCGATCGCTTTTCTTTTCATTCTTGATTTATCTATCACAATTCTTTATCCTATGTGAAAAACTTGGCCGTAGGATTTGCATCATTTGTTGTTTTGTGGATTTAATCAGCGCCGATTACTAAGTGGGTATACCCCACTTTGGAGAATGCTTTATATGTTTAAAGTTTTAATTTAAAATAAAAATTTAAAATTTGACTAGTTATAATAAAATATTGAGACGATTATTGAATTTTTATTTTAAATTTTTTTATATTTTGCCTTCGTGATATCATCGTGTGATTGCTTTTTGAGAATCCCCACCACCTGCAAAACACGTGGCCCCCACTTTGGCAAACGTTTCAATATTTCTAGATACCCCGTATTTATTTTTAATTTTTTAATAATTAATCTAAATTCAATTAATAAATCTGAAAATGAAATAACGGGGAAATTTCAAAAATGACACGTGGAAATAACGTGCAAGGAAGGGCAAGTTGGAAGAAAGGTTTGATTTTTGGAGGATGGCTTCAAAACAAGTAACAGCTGACACGGCAGCCAACTTGACCGTGAAATCAGCGGCAAACGCTGACGTTGCAGTCTGGCTCTGGACATTTCTGTACGGGCATCTATGTTTGTGGGCTTTGCTTAGTCGCTTCTGGAGGCGTGTCGGCTTGCGGAAAATTAAAGCTGGCTAACGTGGCTTAATCGTGTAGAGCGTGGACCGTGCCGAAGGGTAGGGTTCACATGATTTGGAAAATAATAAGTTATTTATAATTTTTTTAAAGGTATCTTTTTCTCCTACATCGTGGAAAGGGTGGGAAATTTCTTATGGGGACGGCTTCGTTTCACCGATCTTTCACTGATTGTTGTTTATGGAAAAATGAAACGTATGCAGCAAAGATAGTTAGTTGTGGGGTTTAATATTTGTTTCCTTGTTAAGTAGATAGAGAAAGTGATGGGATCCAATTCATTTTTCTTCATAAGAGAAACTTTTCTTATATACTATATATGATGACAAATTTAGTCCATTGACATTAATTTCATAACTGTCGAATAATCTGGAAGCATTCTAATTTTATTTACAATATGAGACAAATATATTTTGTTTTAGTCATAAAAATACAAAAGATAAAATCAACAAAAAGTTGCGAAAAGGTACAAAGACAATTACACTTCACCTACAAAAAGGAATGAGAAAACTCTTATGCTAATAAAGTATAGTTTGCCATTGCAATTAAAATCAAGGATTTGGAGAATTGTGGTTTAAAAATTATTGTGAAAGTTTATTATGGAGAAATTATGATTAGTATTGTTTGTAGAGATAAAATGTCAAATACGATTAAGAACTTCATTTTATAAATAGGTTCATCACTGTTTGTTAATAGAAAAAAAAAAAAAACGAGAGCGTATTTATATTCTTTGTTCAATAAAAAAAAATAGTGGCAATTGGATGATCTTACCTACTTTTGCAAATTTATGATATTACAATTATGATTAAATTCAATGATTATGTTCAAATTGATGTATTTTTCGAGTAATTAAAAGTTTAAATAAGAAAAGTTATCCTATGACATATCAAAACATATCATAAATTTTAGTAAAAATTTAAATTGAATTTATAAAAAAAAAAAATCGATTGCTAGAATCGAATTTATACCAGAAAAATGAAATATTCAATTATTATCCTAACTTCACCAACTTTTGTTGGGATCAAACATAATATTTTCAACAATATCAAATGTGCATTAAATAATTGATGGAAATATGTATAAAGAAATATCACCCATGAAAAATAAAGAGAAAAATGAGATAGGTAAAACCAATGCATTTAATTTAATGATTATGGAGTCCATTTAGATCGGCGATTCCTTCCAGTGAGGCACGATTAGAGTATTCAATTACGTCGAAAACTCGTCTGGATAATAAGATGCTGGGAGACTTAAGCATGGCCATCACACTGAAGCTCCAGGGAGCCACTAGACCTCAAGGGGTCCGGTGGAAGTCTCTTCTCCAATCGCCGTCCACTTTTTTCATTTTAGCCCATGTTTCAAAACTTTTTTTCCCTTTTACCCTTCTCACTACAGTGTTGTCACAAAAATATCCTCATCACTGACCTTAGTTTTGTTTTTATTTTTTTATTTTTATTTAAAAATATTCAAATAGTATTATATAAATAAATATAATTATATAATTACATAATAATCAATCAATTAATAATCATATAATTACGTAATAATTACTTTTAATATAAAAATAATAATATAAATAAACAAATAAAATAGTTAATAAATAAAAAGTATTATTATAAAATAATTTTAATAAAATTTTGTTTATTAAAATTATTATTTAATATGAAATAAATTTAATAAATTTTAATTATATTTAATATACAAAAGTTTATTATTTGTATAATTAATAAATTAATTTATAAATAACTAGAAATTAAATATATACATAAATAAAAAAAGCATTACATAATTAAATAAATTATTAATAAATAAAAAATAATCTAAAATTCATTATATACCAATTTTAATATAATGTCCATAATAATAATTTTTCTTTTCACTATACTTCATTTTACTATCATTATTGTTTTTACATCCAAATATATATTTTATTATCGATTTTAATTCTACAATTACAGTACTCAATCTTATTGTTATAGTAACTTTTTCATTGTTATTATTAATTTTAATTTCACTCAAACTAATTTCACTCTTAATTATATGAAGATGTAAAATTAAATATTTTCTTTTATATTTTTTTCTAAAGTAAAGAGTGATAATCTTTAATTAGACGAGTTCTTTGAAAAAAAATAAGTTGGACTTTTTAACAACGGAAGATATATACATAAAATTATTGTTTGCTTTCATGTGAGATTGTGTTAACTTGGATTAAGTTGTAAATAATTCACTATTAACCAAAAAAAAAAACATGCTACTTAAAAAGTTTTCAAAAAACCTTGAAATTTTTTTTATAAATTTAATTAAAAAGTAAAAAATTACTTTATTTTTGAAGATAAAATAAATCATCAATTCATAAATAAAATTTATGAATTTTTAAAAAATTTAAAACTTACAATCACTTCTAAAAATATCATAAAAATTCAAACTTAAATTTTATATATGCATATCCTAAAACTTAATCAATTACGGCCAAACCTATTAACTATAAACTTTTTCTTCGACAAAATCCGACATATACCTTTTAATTGTCAATCTCATATCCCCACCAAAAGTAAGTTTTTTACTCTTTGACACCCTCCCTCACCCCCTTAAAAAAGAAGAAAAAAAACCTGTTATAATCCAATTTTAAAGCATCCAACCAACTTGACCAAAATACCCTCTTCCCAAGCTCTTCACCACTTTTCGCACCAAGCTAAACAATTGCACAAATCCTGTTTTGTCCCCAAGCGGCGATGAGAGAATTCAGCCGAGCCACGCCAACCAACAAAAGCCAACCACAAACAGAAAAAGCCAAAGGCCGTGATTGACTAGGCTACTGGGTCCCATCTGACCGGACCTCAACATGGAATTCAAATTCCATTTATAAAATCCAAATTGGAAAGTGGTCCACAGACGTTTCCCTTTCACAAGTAAACCCCCCGCCCCTCCATAAAGGAAAAAAAAACGAACAGGATCTCCGTGGCGACCTAAGGATTCGCTCCCCCACGCGCCTGCGTCTAATCATTACGCACCTTTCTCTCTCTACTTTGGTCTCACTATATAAACTCGTGTCCTCTGCCTTCTCTCCTCACTATGAACTAGCCTTTTGGGAGAGAGATAAAAAAATCCAAACCCTAAAAGCACATCCTAAACCGATTGATTGGCTCTTTTTTGTGAAATTATTTTCATTTTCATGGAAGAGTTAAACAGCAAGAAGCGAGTTAGAGATGAATCGGCCGAGTTGGACCTGGACTTGTTCGAGGTGAAGAGACTCAGAGATGATTTATTAGATTTTCTGGATGACTCTGATTCTTTGCCTATTAATCAAGACCTCGCATCGGTAATGAAGAGTTTCGAAGATGAGATATCGGCGTCGGCATCGGAGCCAGTCGTCGCACTGGCTACGGATTCCGGCGAGTCTCAACCGGATCTTGGTTACCTTTTGGAGGCCTCCGACGATGAGCTTGGTTTGCCTCCTCCTACGGTTACTACAACTGGTGGTGAGGAGGTAAGGAGCGAGGTGGCTGAGTTACCGCGAGTCTTCTCTGACTCGTCCGGTATCGGTGAGTTGTGGGGGTTTGAGGATCAGATCCCTAACTATGACTCATTCGAGTTTGGAATTGAAGATAATTACAGTGGTGATAACGTTGTGTATGATGGGCTGTTCGAGTATCCCGATGTTTATTACGATTCCTCCGAGTTTTCTGGTTTGTTATGGCGGCCGGAAACTCTTTCGGCGGAGTAAAAATTGCAAACGTAAAATTAAAAAAAATTACAGCCATCGAAAGAAAATATAATTCTGTTCCAAATGGAACACAAGGCATAGCCTATCTGTAAATTCTTTTTTCTTTTTTGGTTTGTTGTAGTACTATTTTTTTATTAAAAAAGTTAAAAGATACGAAGTAGGTAGTAGAAATTTAAAATCAGAGAATCCCTGGATGGAATGACTGATCCTTATGAGCCTAAACAAAATGACATTCGATTTGGTTAATGGTTTCCTTGCGGATGGGATTAGATGTCCGTGACTCTTTTGCACGAATCTGTTCTTTCTTTACTTGCGAATGTATATGTTGTTTAGTTTAAGAACAGAAGCAGACAATTGACTCTGTAAACATAAGAATGGGAATATTTTAAGTACTGCTCTTTGGTTTCCTTAGTTTAGGCCTGACATTAACCCACACTGGGTGAGTGGCGACCCTGTAAGTTGCCAAGATGCGAATCGTTAACAAACTAAGGATGTCAGTAAGGCAACTAGTTTAGGCTTGGAGGACGTTAGGTACCATCAGGATTATGTTACACCAGATCCTATCGTCGTTCGTCAATGATTATAAAATACATAGCCTTCTAATGTCCTCTGATATTTTTTTTTTGGAAGAAATGTCCTTTGTTTCTTTGATTTCGTTTTGAGGTGTGATCGAGAGTTTTTCATGGGCTGAAATAGATTGGGCGGGGCTTCCGAGCTTCAGGATATTGAGCCCAAATCTGGCAGCAATTATTATTTTATTAAATTGCTAATATTACACGATAAGATTTCTCAATAAAAACTGTATAATAGTAATAATAATTAATCTCAGTTTATAATTTGCCATAAATATATTATATTAATTTTGTGGAGAAAATAAATATTAAAGAAAAATAACATAGGTAAACTCTTCGAGTGTTGGGCTCTAGTATGACTTAAACTAGTCTTGATCCATTCAGGATTAGTTGATCTGGTGTGAAAGACTCGGGGCATTTGATCCAATTCATAATTTGTTCTATTACCTTCCAATAGCCCTCAATATTATTCAAGCGATCCATTTGCAGCTATAGTCGGAGTTGCTCCCGTTACTTGGTTTGTTACTCAAATTTGGGCTACAACCTACAACAATGTAGTCCCAACTACTTGGCAATTTCATTTCTTTCATTAACATACCAACCGGTGGAAGAGCGTTGCGATAATAGTTATCGTATAATACAGGCACAAACTTCCTGAAAGCTGAAATCTCAGGCACAAACAACTAGAACCAAATACCTAACTAAAGCTCTCTACCACACTCTTTGCAAGACAGACAAATCCATGAAAGTAAAGGGAGTCAGCAGACCACCAGCTAAAATCAATCATGGAGCTTTTAGCCACAATCTGTATTTTGTTCAAATTATCACCAAGATGGTGCAACCATCTCTCTGAAAATGCAAGGCAACTCACTTACAACCTTTATTAAGCCTTAATCCTTGCAATATTAAATCTCCACAATCCACATCAATTTGCAATAGTAAATGGCTCTAATTCTCTCTTATTAACAAAAATCGTCGAGGGACATGTTTGGAATTGTGGTTTGGTTGGTTTAAAAGGTTTGACCAATATATCTTAGTTGCCCATCTACTCTTAGTGGTGTATATGGCCATGTTGATAAGAATAACCATATAGATCGGGACAGTCTTTAGCCTAATCAATCCCATTTTCAACATAGCAATGCTTTATAATTGATTTTCACCCTTTTTTTAGGCTAGAAACCATTCCCTTCTGCTGCCATCCTTCTTTGTAATTTTTATCTCTTACAAACATTCTTTAAGTATAATAATAACTCTTTGTATATACTAATTTCTGGCAATACAAGTGATTGTTTTCATCAATTGCCGTGTTTCAAGTTGTTTCATGGCCATGGATCGCTCTAGCCATACTTGGTCCAATATCACCTATTGGGCCTAGACAGGTGGTAAGCTCAACTTCCTGCATATTTTCTCTTAGGTTGCACTTCACTTTTTGGTTGTCTATTGGGCCTACAGATTGTTGCATAATTATCTTTTTTTTTTTTAGTGTTAAATAATTATCTTAATTCTTAAACACCTGACACTTTATTCTGCAAAAGAAAAAAAAAAAAAGAGCAGAATAATTGAAAAAAAATCTTAATTTTTATTGGTAGGGTATTCCCTTACAGAGTATGCATATGCATCTCTATTTTATAATTTTCAATTATTTTTATAAGATTTTTCGTTATTTTCCTTTATTCATTTAAAGCATTGACGAAATTTTTTTACACGGACAAGCTCGACAGCTTGATCGCCAAAAAGAACAGGATTCTGTGTGCTTATCTGATAGTGATAAGAAAATATTCACACCGTTCGATTCATTTAATCCACGTGGCATACATCATACCATCCATTTCTCCAATCGAAAGCAAAAAAGCAGCGTCCGTATCGGTTACAAAGTTGAAGTACTCTACTAGATATTCCTTACTTGCCAACGTTTCTCTCTCTTCAGATATAAATATGATCGGCGGATTTTAATAAGAAAAAAAAAAATAAAAGAGGAGTGAGAGATCGAATTGGCAGAAGATGAAGATTTTCGTCAAAACTCTCAAAGGCACTCACTTCGATATCGAAGTCAAACCCGAAGATGCGGTTCGCTTCTCTCTCTTTTTTTTTTAATTTTCAATTATTTTTTCTGTATTTATTTTATTTATTTTAGTTTTTTTTTTTTTCAGATTTATCATATGAATATTATCGTTCGTCGATTGTGTGTTCTTTGCTAGGGTTTTTTGCTTTGCCTTTTTTTGTTTTCCCCAATTTTGAAAATTAATTAGGGTTAACCTAGGACTGCCTATACGTGAAGTTTAAATTGGAGATCACGAATGATTTGTTCAATTTCAGTCTTTAATTGATTGAATATGTTGATTTCGCTACTTTAATTAAGTTTAAGAATGATACTTGAATAGATTGAATGCCTATATCGAAATTTCTGGGGGGTAATTAACAATTGCGTGTAACTTATCCACTTCCTTGTCGGGAGCGACATGAAACGTAGTTCGTAATAATATGTTTAGTGATGGAAGAAAGGAATGTGATAGTAATTTACTGGAATCAGTGGATGATTCTTTGTTCCGAGCTTTATTTTTGCATGAGTATTTGATTAACTTGTGTACTTAAATACAAATGTATAGATTGCTATGTTAACGGTAGTTGTAGTATACAATATTTAAGGTTCAAGAGGATAATGCACAAGCTTTGAACAATTGATATGGGCTAATATCATACTTTTTGAAGTGTTCTTTCATTGGTGAGTATAAACACTAGATTGAAGGCATGGAGGTTGTTTTTAATAAAATATCTATGCATAGGTTACCATGTGAGACAGAATGAAAATAAAGTTCTGCATTCTGAGGATAGCTATAATCATGAATTGTGTTGTTTTGAAGGATGCTGGTATTCTGATTTTTTAATCAAGTATTATTATTTTCTTTATTCTTGCTTTTTTTTTTGTTTTTATGCTTTTTAGTTTTTTGTGAGGATATTCATGAGCATGAATGTCTTTGGGATAAAATGCCTGGTTTAGCTGCCTTTTGCTTCCTAACTTTGGTGTCATGCAATTCTGCTCTTAATTCTGTGAATTTTCTTCCAGGTTGCTGATGTAAAAAAGAACATAGAAACTGTCCAAGGAGCAGATGTTTATCCTGCTGCGCAACAAATGCTTATTCATAAAGGGAAGGTTCTTAAAGATGGTACGACACTGGCTGAGAACAGTGTCACTGAAAATAGCTTTATTGTCATCATGTTAACCAAGGTGAGATTAATTGCAATATCCAGATCCTTAAGTTTTCAACGCCCTCTCCCTTACCTACTCTTTCTCTCTAATGCTTGTAAATATTCATCTAACTCCTAACCTTCCTGACCAAAGTATGCTGACTTTATCCATGTTATTGCTAATGCCTAATTGGACATATTTTTTCATGTGTCTGTTGCCCTCAAATGTTATCTTAATTAAGGAGGCTTATGATAGAGTGTGGTATCATCATATTTTTTGAAATCTGATTGTTGCATTGCTTTAGTAGCATCTTCCAAAATGTTCTATTTGTTACTAAACTAGAAATGACTTCATGGTGTCATGTGTTGGCCTTTAACCTATTTGTATCCTCGTTTTACTTTTCACTATTGTTGTACCATAGTTTTTGGTACTAATCATGCACTTTTTTGCTTGAATTTATTCTAGAATAAGAGTTCATCTGGTGAGGGTTCCACTGCTTCAACAGCTCCTACAACTAAAGTAAGGACATAGTTTTGTCAATTTTCTTACTGGGTTTGTCACCCTTTTTCTAAATGTTACTTATATACCTGCATAATTGCTTTTGAGCAGTTACTACCACTGTGCTTTTTAAGCTACATTGCTGAAAAGACATTTACATTTCATATGACATGAAAAAGCATCGGATTTTGTTTTCTACTAGAAGATGATGTTCTTTTCTTCAATGCTTTGACAACTGATAAGCAAGCAACTTGAACAAATGCAATTTATATGACTTGAAAAATCATTAGGATTCTGTTTTCTCCCAGTGAACATTCTTTTCTTCAATGCTATGATGACTGATGAGCAAGCAACTTGAACAAATGCAATTTATATATGTTTAATCAGTAAATAAGTCACTTGTGGCCTAAAAATATCTATAAATAAGTTAAAGGTAGTGATTAAAATGCTTTAAAACTTTAGCTTTTCAGATGTTGCACAGGTTTGAGCTGAGTTATTCTGCCTCCAAATGCTTACTAATTACTATCTAACTCTCAAACTATTGAGCAATAATCATAATGCATAATGCTGGAGTCTGAGTTGGTCTATTACCAACATGGTCTCTCTTTTAAATGTTTACAAGTTAGTTAACCTCTTATCTGTGTTACTCAATTTCCCAGTTGTTTTCTCTTTTTCCCTTCCAATAACATATGAACAAGAAAGCTAAAGGCTACTACCCCTTTCTCTCTTCATTGACCATCTAGAAGAGTTTTAACTTTAACTAGCAATTTTCTTTTTGAGTTATTAATTTTACAAAAAATGTGTGAATGTGCAGAAACGCATCTATTAACTCTCACAAATCATTTTGTGATTTTTTATCTTCAAACTTCTTTTTGAGTATGACTATAAATGTTTTTTTTTGTTTTTTTTGTACTATATACTATGCAGTGATTTAGTGCATGTTACTGCAGAAAAACTGTGCATATGCTACAAAGGTTATTGATTGGCTAGTGTTTTTGGATGTAAATATTTTCTTATTCTTTCCTCATTGTGGATAAAATGTCTTCTTTGTAGGCTCCTCAGGCAAGTTCACCACCACCAGCTTCAACACCAGCTTCTACTGCGCCTGTTGCAACTTCAGCTACGTAAGTCCAGCCATTCCACACTTTTCTGAAGATAATGGCCTCAATGGATTAATTGCTTTTTAACTGTTTTTCAGGACTGCACCTGTCACTGAATCTGCTCCTGTTGCTTCAATTACTACTGCGTGAGTAACTTAATTCTCAGATAGTAACTTTGGGCTTCTTATTTAAATGATATTTGGGCTTCTTATTTAAAGGATAGAAGGGATGCTTTTGATTTAATCTGTCTTCAATTGCTTTCAATTGGAGTGTCCTGCTTTTCCTTTTTTTGCTTTGCATTTTTGTAATATTTTTAACAATGTCTTTGGAAGCAGGTCAGAAACTGATGTTTATGGCCAAGCAGCATCTAATCTGGTTGCAGGAAGTAACTTAGAGGGTGCAATCCAGCAAATTCTTGATATGGGTGGAGGGACCTGGGATAGGGATACCGTTGTCCGCGCTCTTCGTGCTGCTTATAATAACCCAGAGAGAGCTGTTGAATATTTGTATTCTGTAAGTGGTTTCCTGTCTTCCTTGTCATTAATGATTAGATGTAATTCAACTTTCTACCTGGTTTTTTCCCTGCTGTGGATGATGATTAAATTTCCATACACTCAAAAGATACTTCCTTTCCTTCCATTTTGCTTGTCCCTTCTAACTTGGTGGCTTAGTGTGCAGTTTATGGAGCAAAAAGATGCTAAATGTAGAAATTGTGAAGTTTACTTTGATGATTTTTTTTTTTTTAAATCTTGAATCATATGCCTTACATCAAGAAAACGAATGGATTTGTCTAATGTAGTGTTTCTTAATGACATGTTATACTGCACCATTAGGCATTTCTTGTCCCTGTCTTACTGCATTACATTATCTTCAGTGTATTTGTTGAGTTCATTTACCTGAGTCTTTACATGACTTAAAAACCGTAATTTTCTTTTATTAGAACAAGCGTTCATTTTGTTTCCTACTATTGAGCTGCTGCTTGTCATTTTGGTAAAATTTTATTACAAATATTAGGGTATCCCTGAGCAAGATGAAGCTCCACCTGTGGCCCGTGCCCCTGTCGTTGGGCAGACCACTAACCCTCTAGCACAGCCACAACAGCCTGCACAAACAGCACCTGTTCCTTCAAGTGGACCCAATGCAAATCCTTTAGACCTCTTTCCCCAGGTAGTTGCTTTGCAGTAAATATTTGATATATTAGATGATGGAAAACTTAACCATTGACTTTATCAGTCTTTTATTGATACAGGGCCTTCCCAACATGGGTGCAGCTGGTGCTAGGGCAGGCAATCTTGATTTCTTGCGCAACAGTCCACAGGTCTCTCTCTCTTCATATGGATGTATATGGGCTCGTGAGTATGACTTTCATGTAAATTCCTACCTAGAACTACAATCATTTTGCCTTTTCTCTGTTTCAGTTCCAAGCTTTGCGAGCGATGGTGCAGGCCAACCCACAAATATTGCAGGTTGGTCTCTGATTCCATCTTTCTGCTGTTTGATTGTGTTTTTTGTTTTCCATTTCTTTCCACCTTTTCTGAAGGGTTTATGTTTATTTATTTTTGCAGCCTATGCTTCAAGAGTTGGGGAAACAAAATCCTAATCTAATGAGGCTTATTCAAGAGCATCAGGCTGACTTTCTTCGCCTGATCAATGAACCTTCTGAAGGTGGAGAGGGGTGAGTCTTGTCATTTTCAGTTGCTCATTTCTTCATCCTAATTGTGCAATGCATGTATATCAATGCCTATCCGCCTTCTTCTGTGTCATAGGAACATATTGGGGGAATTAGCTGAGGCGATGCCACAAGCTGTACAAGTCACACCCGCGGAACATGAAGCCATAGAAAGGGTAAGTCATCTGCTGACTTGGATGTGTGCATTATTCCCTGTATTTATTAGTTTTATTGTGCATCTTCTTCATTGCAGTGGAAATATCATAGTTCACTTCTATGGCCTTTTTCTTTGTAATAACATAGTCCAAATATTTGAACACATGCTTGTTGTTTGTTTTTGTTGAACTGCATCACATCTTTGTTTCAGGTAATCGTTTTGGATGATAGGTTTTCAGGGTTGATTATTTTGTGTCAAGTTTGTTGCTTTGATGTGTTGTGCCTACAATGATATATTTTATATTGCTGACTATCAATATTTAACAGCTGGAAGCAATGGGCTTTGATCGAGCAACTGTGCTCCAAGTGTTCTTTGCCTGCAACAAGAATGAGGAACTGGCAGCCAACTACCTTTTAGATCATATGCATGACTTTGAGGATTGATTTGGTATAGAAAATGGCTAGGGAAAGTTCAAAAAATTTTTTTTTTAGTCTTTTGTTATTCATCTTCCTCCCGTCTTCAACTCTACGTACTTTATTATTTCTTAATGAAGTAATGTGAAGTGTTTGGTGCAGCAGACACAAGGGATTCTTTCCTTTTTAGGAACCATTATAATTTATAACGTTGTATACGAAGAGTCTTCGTTCCTAAGTTTGTGTATACTGTAGAAGAGATTTGTATGCAATCATTTGGCTTCCAAGTTTCATACGGTTTGTTTATCTTGTCAATGAGAGTAGTTCTCTTCATTCAAGGGTAGAGGCGTGCGCAGTTTCTTCAAGCGCAATTCCAACTCGAGTCATGGTACTTGTCCAAGGTTTTGTTAAACCTACAAAACTGGAGACCAAGTTTTGATGGTCATTGTCGGGAACAACCAAAGAAAGGGTGAAGTGGAATGTTAAAAATCTAAAGCAAAACTAAATTCGAAATTAGAAGAACGTAAGCATAAATTAGTAGTAATAAAAAGTAAAATGAAGCGATAGAAAAAGGGGTTCATGTAGATGTTCATAGAGGTTCGATTTATTCCAAGAAACCGATCTCCTCTACGGTTAATGCAAGAGTTAGTTATTATCCCTTGAGCAAATCTACCGAGTATTTTATAGGCTTTTTATACAACATAATTTCCTCACAAATGTCTAATAACCTATTTTTTTACATAAAATGGTTGATAAGAACGAGTAAAAACGAGAATTGAGGCACAAATATCTCAAAGACTTGATGGATTGATCTTGATAACATATTTTTTTTATGCATTTTCCGTATATATAACAGACTTTCCTCGAGTGCTTGTTTGTTTCTTTCATTTGTGAAGAGGCTGATAGCTTTCAATTCTGTGTGTAGTTGCAGAAGTAGAAGCATCAAATTTAAAACTTAGTGTAGCATTATAAGAATTGGCAAAATTGTATAAAAACATATAGTCAAAATTAACCAAGTGTTTCATCTTACAGAGGTAACTTGGAAGCTTTAAGTAATATTATATTCTCTGTAATCTGAGCAGGGAGTGATAATCCTAACACTCGCAGGAGTCAGGATCACCGCCGCAGCTAAGGCCACCACCATGTGAAGGTAACCAAGTTGGCCAAGAAGCCAATGGCAATCAATTGGCTGTTCTCTACCTGTCTCTTATACTGGCAGCCTTAGGATCAGGCGGGATCGGGCCACGCATGGCGGCGTTTGGGGAGGATCAATTCGTTGACGAGAATCCTCAGCTTCCTAAAAAAGTTGGTTCTAGTTTAATTGGTATTTCTTTGCATTGGGAGCCTCAATTTTATTAGCATCAACTGTACTTGCCTATATTCAAGACAACGTTGGATGGAGTTGGGGCCTCGAAATTCCTACCATTGCCGTGCCTTTGTCCATAATTGCTTTTTTTTTTTAATTTTTTATTGGTTACACTCGTGTGCTACAGGTCTTTGGAAGAGAACGGTTCCCTTGGTTTCTGATCCTAAATTTTTGTATGGGAACGAGGAGCTGGATTCCTCGATTTCCTCTGACAGACTACTTATTTCATCATCCAAAACAATAAAATAATGCCACTTGCCCAAGTTGTTAATTAACCAGGCCTAATTTCATATGATTAGAAGTTTAGCTGTTTCTAACTCATCTATGTACGAAATGCAGATTTCTGGTCAAGGCTGCCATTGTGGCTGAAGAAGATGCTGTCAAATCTTCTTAAAAAACGAATTTGCGGAGACTGAACAACGTTCATATAGAATTGAAGAATTAAAATCTATATTAAAAATGTTACCAATTTGGGTAGCTGGTACTCTCTCTGCCACATCCTCTGCGCAACAAAAAAACATTTTCACTACAGCAAGCCGCAAGGTCACAGGGCTTGACCAGGGCGCATAAACTTTTTGCACTAGATGGCCTTAGGCTTTTTCATCTTAATACTAGCAAATCTTGTAGCTGGATTCATTGAAGTGAAGCGAAAAGAAACAGCCCTAGCTAATGGCCTAATTGAGACAGCCCCAAATCTAAAATCCCCGTCTCAGTTTTTTGGCTTGTGCCACAGCTTAGTCTCCACGGTATAGCTGAGGCTTTCATGTAGACATCGATTCCGTCTGGGGAATATACAAGCACATTTCTGGTTGCACTAGTGAACAAGTACTAACTGACATGTGGTTTAACACTCAAATCAAGCCCGAAAATTCTAATGTTTAATTGTGCAAAAACAAAGTGTTTGTGGTATTTAAACTTGAGACTTTACTCTAACATGTAAAATGCACTAAAACTTAAATCCGATATAAAACTAATTGGATCTGTTATCTAACATTAAGCTCAATTGCTCATACACAAAGTCAAACTCCATCGAGTTCAATAGTTTTACAATGCTTTATTTGTTTGAATTTTGTTACACTGACAAATCTATTTAAACAGGTTTGTATAAATAAGATTAGGAATTTAGACCTAGGAAAAGTGATATATAATTTCCTTTTAAGTCCTAAGACTTGTAGGATTTTGCTATCTGAGTTTCAACATTATCAAAATGACCTGTTACAAGTGACTTTGATGTGAGTCTGCTTTGGTTTGTAAATTGGGTCTAAATTTTTTTTTAGTTTCTCGCTCTTCATTTAAAAAAAAAAAAAAAAATCTTGGACTTCAACTTGTTTGGTTTCTTTTGAAAAGTTAATATCATACATGGATCTTTGGAATCTTGAGTAAAAAGGAAATTAAAATGATCATAATAATGCAATAAAGTTTAAACTCATTACTTACAAAGGTTTTAGAAAGAAAAATAAAAGTAATAAATAACTAACTTTTTTTTATTTGCAAGGTAATAAATAACTAACAAGTCGATTTTAATTTAATGAACCAAAAGTGAGTCTAATAAAAAACTTTTGTTTGGTACATTTTTCCAACGTTTAATTGCATGCATGATTAATTGGTTTCCATCATTATTGAACAAGTGATGGTTAAATTTTCATTCAATCAATTGAATGCAGCTTTTCATCTGCCATGACTAATTTCAATCCCTTATTTTAGCTACCAAACCATATTTGAGTATTTGCATATTTGGTACATCAGACCTAAACCATATTAATTAAATATGACTTGTCCCTACAACTAACCTTGTTTGCATATACATGAATTCAAGGATCTCAAATTTTAAAAACTATTAAATAGCATCATTTTTAAATTAAAATTAAATAAAAAAGTTATAAGTTAATATCTCGAAATAGGTTAGGTTTGGACTCAAAATTTCCTATCTAAGGTTCAGTTCGTAGACAAATCTACTTTTATACATCTCCAATCATTTGTATTTAACTACATATAAAATTTGTCTTGTATTTATATTTTATGATTGATAAGCAAAATCCGTGTGTATACGATACCTGATTTTTATTTCAAACATTAATATTTTTTACTTGTTGACAAAAACTATGCATTGATGCATAGATCTAATTTTCACACACGTGACAAGTAACAATAGAAAACCCATATTTGATGTTGGCACTCTTGTCTGTTCATAAATTTTATGATCAGATTCCCCTTTGTAAATGCCTTCTTTATTACCAAATTGTTAAATACGATGTTTTCATGTCTTTTTTTCCTGACTTCTTTTGTATTATTGAAGAAACGTCAAACATGGAAATTATATTTCAGTCCGATTACCAACCAAGGATAAAGAAGATCCCATATAACACCCACACCGAAAGGAACTCTCAGTATAATAAGTAACCTTTAAAGAAAACCCAATTGTAGTTAAAGTAATATGGGAAGAGACAAGATTTTTCTGTTGTCCTGACCTGTCACATTGCATCTCCCTCCTTATCTTTCTATTTAACCTATGGAAAAATTATCGGTTTCATCAATAATCTTGACATGGATGAGCTTCAGGTGACAGAAGTCCATGCAAAGAGTGGTGATAAGGCAGAGGCAGACCAAGATTGCAGCAGCCATGGAAAGACCGAAAATGCTGATCTTGAGCAAAGTAACAGAGCTAATAATGTCAATGAGAAAAAAGGTGGGATTAAGACAATGCCCTTCATCTTAGGTAAGCTTCTGAATAGTTGATAATGTGGCATTTTAATTTATGCTTAATTAATTGGTAATATAATTGTATTTTGTTGGTGTAGCAAATGATATGTGCGAGAGGTTTGCAATGCTGGGTTTCAGCAAAAACATGGTTAACTACTTGACAATTCAGCTTCATATGCCATTAACAAAGGCTGCCAATACAGTCACCAACTTCAGTGGAACTTCTAGCTTGACGCCATTGCTGGGAGCCTTTGTCGCTGATTCATATGTTGGAAGATTTTGGACTATCACTTTTGCATCAACCATATACCTTCTAGTTAAGAAATCTTTTCCTTTTCCATCTTTTTTATCACTTTTGCATCAAACATATTTACAAATTGAAAATTAAATTTTGTTCAAACGTTTATATAACCAGGGAATGATAAGCCTAACGCTATCAGCCACGTTGCCACATTTGAGGCCACCCAAGTGTGAAGGGAACCAAGTCTGCGTAGAAGCCAATGGTATTCAATTGGCAGTTCTCTACCTATCTCTTCTATTGGCAGCTTTGGGATCCGGAGGAATCCGGCCATGTGTGGTGGCATTTGGGGCGGATCAATTTATTGAGGAGGATCCTAAGCAACCTAAAAAGACATGGGTCTACTTTAACTGGTATTACTTTGCTTTAGGAGTAGCAATTTTATCTGCATCAACAGTGCTTGTCTATATTCAAGACAACGTTGGATGGGGCTGGGGCCTTGGAATTCCTACCATTGCCATGGCTTTGTCTATAATCGTGTTTTTAATTGGTTACTCACTTTACCGACATCTTGTTCCTGCTGGAAGTCCGTACACTCGTGTCTTGCAAGTCAGCATAGCTGCTTTCAGGAAGAGAAAGACTACGATTTCTGATTCAAACTTGTTGTATTCGAATCAAGAACTTGATGCCTCACTTTCCAAAGATGGAATGCTTCTTCATTCTGAACAATTTAAGTGAGTTTTCTCACAAAAACGAAGTTTTTCAACTTCTTTTTTTGCTAAATTACAATATTTTCACTAATTTGTATGAAAATGCAGATTTTTAGACAAGGCAGCTATTGTGACTGAAGACGACAAGCTCAAATCATGCGAAAAACCAAATTTATGGAGACTTAACACTGTTCACAGAGTTGAAGAGTTAAAATCTGTGATCAGATTGTTACCCATAGGAGCAGCTGGAATTCTATTTGCCACGGCTGATGCCCAACAAAACACGTTCTCAATTCAGCAAGCCAATACCATGGACAAGCACCTAGGAAAGGGTAATTTCCAAATACCCTCAGCTTCCATGTCCATCTTTGCCACATCCTCTATGCTCATTACAATAGCTTTTTACGACCGGCTACTCGTTCCTATCGCACGCAAATTCACGGGTCTTGACCGGGGCATATCCTATTTGCACCGGATGGGGATTGGTCTATTCATTTCAATACTCTCAACTCTAGTTGCTGGGTTCATTGAGGTGAAGCGAAAAGATGTAGCATCAGCTAATGGGCTAATTGATACCACCAAATCTATAATTCCCATTTCAGTTTTTTGGCTTGTGCCACAATATAGCCTTCATGGCATTGCTGAGGCTTTCAAGGCAATTGGTCACCTCGAATTTTTCTATGACCAAGCACCTGAGAGCATGAGGAGCACAGCTACTGCTTTGTATTGGACAGCAGTAGCTACTGGGAACTATACAAGCACACTTTTGGTTACGCTGGTGCACAAGTATACCCACTGGCTACCTAATAAGAATTTGAATAAGGGGAAATTGCAGTACTTTTACTGGTTGATCACTGGTTTGCAAGTCCTGAATTTCATATACTATTTGGTATGTGCTAAATTTTATAATTTCAAGCCTCTTCATTGCCAGAAAAGAGATCAAGAACATGGTGACTTGAATGGAGAAGAAATGGAGCTTGCAAAAATGGTTTAGTCAATTACCCTGTTGTTAGTTCTTTGTAAAGGCAAATCTCTCTCTGGTTTTCTATCTGGTTGACCTCTCTTAATCTGATTGTACGATAAGAACAGAATCAGTCCCAGTATACCTTTTTTTTTCTTCTTTTGTTAGCGAGAAGACTAGTGAAATTTGTGAATTTTTTAATTGAAAATGATCAAATTAACAATCAAAATTGATAGAGTAATTGATTAAACCATTTAATATAAAAAATTAAAAATTATGATAGAAAATTTCATTATTCATCATCTATTGATTGGATTTAGAATTTTTTTCTATAGATATTAATTTTGATTTTTTTTTTTACATATATTGTTGATTTTTAAATTGGGTTTTATCTTAGCCAAAAAAATTTCAGACAAATTGTACAGATTTATTTATTTCATATTCACATGTTATCCATTAATTCTCAAACAAATTTGGTATATATCCTTGATAGTGTTAAAAACTTCATCTTCTAGACTTGTAACATATGATAAATGGAAGAAAATTTTCTCCCTTTTTCTTTTTAGTGGCAAAACCTTAATAAGCTGTCAAGAAACAAAGAGTATAGAATCAATCAAGTGTAACTGACAGTATCATTAAAAAAAATAAAAAATCAACAGAGAAAAGAAAAGAAAATAAATGAAAACAAAACGGGTATTGACTAGGTCTCCTTGAACCAAAATGCAATCAGTTTTCTCTACTCTGTAGAAGACAAGGTGGTGAAGCAACTGGGCCTATCATGTGATGTTTGAAAATATTCAAATCTCAGAAAATTTGTGAGAAAAAGGTTATTCAGTCCTTGGAAATTAGTACTTTGGCTTGACGTTATAATTTCAAATTATGTCAGACAAAAAAACAAGGGCATAGAAAAAAACAATATCCAAACCTATTATTTTACATGAATATGAGGTTTTTTTCTTTAAATAATTATTTTATTACTTAATCCAAAAAAATCTTGAATTCTTATCTTGAAAATGATTAGCTTAATATATTATATAATTTAAACCCCAACGAATTTTGATATGTTAAAAAACGAAAAATTAAGGTTGCAATTTGCCCACATTTCCATACGTCAATCTAGCTTTTTTTATACGTTCTCTTCTCTCTTTATATATATATATATATATATATATTTATTTATATTTATATTTATATATATATATGTATATATCCCACTTTCTTCGTAATAACTTTCAAATATAGAATAGTAGTGTGGCTTAGCCAAATTATTAGAAAGCAACTTTAGCACGAAATTGAGGACCTCAATTTTGGCTGTTGCTAATAGTGGGGATGACCAACGATCTTGCTGTTCATGTGATCAGTTGAACTGAAATGCCCTTTCTTTTCAGCCTCTAAACACATCCCTTTATTCTGTTTTCAAATGGGTTAGAAACCTGTTCCCATCTGTTTTGCCTTTGTTCTAACCTCTTCTAAAACCGCCCTTGGCAATTTTGTCCATTAGCCTTGCTAATACAAGAAAAATTATATATCCTCTAATTAAGTTCTTTCTATCATGTCAATTATAAATTCAATAAATTCAGAAAACACAATAATTTGGAGTTGAAAATGCATGTCCCGTTGAATAATTTATGTAGTCTTATCTTGTGGGTGCCAATAACCATTGTGTGGCATCTCTATGAAAAAGCCTTAACATAAGGGTTATTTATTACAAACTTTGTAAAAGAAATTTCCAAATTAATTAAGCAAATTTTTTATATTCATTAATATCGAAGCACTACAAGGATTTTAGTTTTTAGTAAATTTTTTTTTTTTACGTTTAGCGGTGTTTATAAACGCCACTAAAAATTTGTGACGTTTGCGAAAAATATCAATCAAAGTATCGGCTATACATGTGTTACGAAAAATAACGACATTTTTTTATAAAATGTTGTTACATTAGTGGCGTTTGTATGAGAAAAATGCCGCTATATTAGCGACATTTGTATCTTTGACATACCACTAATTAATTGACATTTTTATTAAAAAAACGTTGTTACTTTAGTGGCATTTGTATAAGAAAAATGCCGCTAATTTAACGCATTTACTAGCAAAAGCACTGCTACTTTGAGTGACGTTTTATAGTACAAACGTCACTAAATTATTCATTTAGCGATATTATTCAACACAAACACCACGAAATTAAGAAATGTATTTTTTTAAAATAAAAAATTTATGTTAATAATTATTATTTTCATAAACGAGCTTAAATTCAGATACAAAAATTAATATAAACTTAATTCATGTTCAAATATGCATCTAATTAACATAAAGTTTAATAATTAGTATAATAACATTCAAATTTTTTTAATAAATTAACAAAATAAAAATTAAAATGTATGAAATTGATGACTGCATACATTTTAAAGGCTACCAATTGATGAAAGAATTTTTCACCTTAGTCACTAACGTACTCAAGAACCTACTGAATAATAGCATACAATTTTTAACACTTCATTGTAAGCTTTTTTGATATTAAAAAATATAAATATTTACTAAATATAATACCTGAGTTGGAAGACTACGAGATCAGTTCTTGAAAATTGTTGTTGTATAAAATTTATAAGATGATCGAATCGATCATGCAACTGTTAAAATTTTGCATGCTCTTGCTCCATTCTAGCACGTTCTTCCTCAATTTTGGCACGCTCCTCTTCTCTTTCTACTTTCATTTGCTAGAACCATTGTTGTATAGTTTGCAACTCTTTTCTCAATATCGAAATATCTCACGAAGATTGACTTGCTGAGAATATAAATTACTGAGAGCTACATCCGTAGTAAGTAGATGGTCCAAACACCCAATCCAAGGCCTCAAACTCGTCCATTCTTTTTTTTTTTCAGCAACTTCTATAAATATTCGATTTTTAATTCTTGTATATTAAGAGAACCATCAGATGCTACTTCAATATTAGCAGTCATTTTCTCTTTTGCTTTTTCCTGTAAATTAGTCATATATAATTATCAAGTTTAATGATTAATTGATAATATGTTAAAAATAGTAAATATTTACTTTTTGTTAAAATAGATATTACAAATTATCATAATTTCTTGTGTTTCAACATTCATGTAAGATCCGTATTTTTTGTGTGTGTTAAGCGAAAAAGTTTCACACGTCCAATTTGATCACCCATCTCAATCTCCTATACAAAAACGTATGTTATTTGATAGGATTCATATCAACTGTAACTTATTCATGCTTGTCAATCAAGTTTAAAATTTTTGAATAATTTTAGTATCATGTATTTATATTTTAGCTCATTTACAATACAATAGTCTTAAACAGACACAAACAATAAAAATATTTTGGCCTTTTACACATATTGATCATGGCAACTAAATTCAATTATTTGGACAAGTTTAATATCATGGATTGAAGTCATTTAAATTGTTGAAAGCCATCCAAAAGTTTAATTTGTATTTTTGCCTTTGAAAGGAAAAAATAGTTCCAAATAGACATAAATGATAACTTTTTCACCCATATCAACCGTAGAAACCAAGTTTAATCAATTGGACAAGTTTAATATCAAGTATTGAAGCTATCCAAACTCTTTAAATAGAACAATAACAAAAAATTTGTAATTTTACCTAAATAGACGTAAACAATAACTTTTTCATACATATTATCCGTCTCAACTAAGTTTAAAACTTTCGATAAGTTTAATATCATGTATTAAAACTATCAAAACTATTAAAATAATACAATAACTGTTAATTTGCATATTTACCTTTTAACGACACAAAAAGTTCATTCATTGGAATAAGTTTAAAATCATAAACTTACTATTTTTTTTTGCTTTCTTGCAAAACTTTTTGATCCACTTATGTGGTTATATTTCTATTGCTTTGTACTACCAATCCCAATATGTTCTTATTCCTGCCATAAAAAATAATTGGGTATATCGTAGAAATACAAATATTACCAACTTAAAACATATAACACTTTCATTATTTCATTATACTATACAAAGTTATAAATTATTACTTCTCTTTTTCTTGAGAATCAAAATCTAACTAATTGTTCATATTGCCACCTAATCACATTATAAGGTAGATTTTCCATCGTCGCCTCTACAGTTGTATTTTTAACGAAATACTTATTCTTTAAATTATACTTATAATCTTTCCATTTCTTTCCTAATGACTTAAGCACAAATGAAGTTAGTATTTCAAGTACAAATCTTGATTATAATAATACAAAAAAAGAAAAGGTTTAATTAGTAAACCAAATTTAAAATAATGAATTTTTTTATTCATAATTAATTATACTAATACCTCAATAAAGTTTAAAGCATCAACCTTTACTTTTGCTGAAACTTTATGCCATGTTTCATAATGAATAGGCAATTTCATTCCATTACGGGTAAGCATGCCTAAAAATTCAACCAACAGTTGATCCACTTCACCAATTAGTTGCCTATCAGAGTTTACAGACACTACAATATGTTCGTTCAGAGGTAGTGAAATAATTCCTTCAAAGTTGTTTGACCTCTGCTCTTCCGTTGACCATTGTTATCAACTGCAAAAATTAAAAAATAAATTTATAAAATGGTAATACTTTTATCATTATAATCGATTTGTAAATATGAGGTATATGATATATGTATTCAAATTTAAAGCATAATCAATTGACGGGATACTGTCTAAACTTAGACCTCCCGTATTGTCAGATCTAATATCAGTTGAAGGGTTAGAAGTGATTGAGTTAGATCCGATAGTATGTTCATTTTCCTCCAAAAGATTTACTCCATCACCAATATCAATAGGTGCCATGGACGGTTCTAAACTAATATCTCTGATATGTATTTTTTTCAATCTACTCATCTATATTGTAGCTTCTCTGCATCATAAAAATGAATATATAAAAGATATTAGTTTAGAACATATATAAAGACATTGAGAAGTTAAGAAATCATAACTTATGATACAAAAAAATATTGATTTAATTAAATCAAAAGATAATGTATGATTTACAATACAATAAATATACAATAGTAAATACAACATTAATTACATACAATCATTTACTATATTATATCTTAAACACTCGAATTACAAAATATAGATGATCCATCATGGTTCATAAACGTTTTCATTAAAA